TACAGGCAAATGCTTGTCTGCCGTGAAGGTACACTCTTACAGGCAAAGCAAAATGTATGCAGTTATTCCCTTTTTGACTTGTAGTGTACCAAAAGCACTTGGCAAGAAGGAATGTGTCAACCTCAAATTTTTAGCCATCATCTGAAAAGTAAATTATAGAGCTCATGTGGGGCATACATTTGAAAGCGTGTTGGGGCATTTTTAAAGAGGGGCATATACACAATTTCATTAACAAATTAAAGTCTACATTTCAGTCAACATTGAATTAATTTGACAGTTGTATATTATATATTATTGAGATTTTATTAAAGTTGGAATATAAAAGGCAAATCCAATAGACGTTCCTGTTAGAAGGTGAAGTAATGAGAAACTAGCTTTATTTTATAAATTTGGCACTCAGTAGGCAAATGGATCAACATAGAAAACAAGAAGACCACATTTCTTCCCTGACTTTTATCTCTAAGTACACAGATAATGTTGGTAATTACATATGCATCCACTATCATTTCAACAAATATCCACCAATCTTCAAAGTTTTCTCCTCTGTTTGATAAAATAGCAACTTGGAAGTCAGCAAGATGGCTCAGTGATAAAGGCAATTGCTGTCAAGCTAGAATTTGATCTCCAGATCCTACATGGTGGAAAGAGAGAAACTACTCTAGTAAGTTACTTCTGATCTGCACATGTGCTCTGAAGCGTGTTCTGGAACACACTCACACACATGTAAGTAAACAGACAACAGACATAAGGAAATAGTTACTGATCTGCACATGTGCTCTGAGGCAAGTTCTGGAACAAACTCACACACATGTAAGTAAACAGACAACAGAAATAAGGAAATAGTTACTGATCTGCATGTGTGCTCTGAGGCGAGTTCTGGAACACACTCACACACATGTAAGTAAACAGAAATAAGGAAATAGTTACTTGTTCAGAGTTAAATGTCCTACACTGGCAAAGAGAAGAGGCCTTTACACTTGTCAATGTATTTTTCCTGCACTTTGGAGAGACAGACATTTAATAGTCTTCATCTCTGTAAGATCACAGAGTACGCAGAGGCCAAGGTTGTAACACATAGGCAGCCTGTGACTGGATCCAGCACTTTAAGCTTTGATTTCTCATCAAGCGTCCAGTCAAGTTTGAAGCTTCTTCCTTAGGCAAATATATCGTGTATTATCCTACAAGGGAAATTGCATCAGGGTGCAAACAGACCTCATTTTCCAGCCCAGGGGAAAAGGAAACAAATGAAAGATTAGGAAAAATGAGGTTGAAGCAACTTGGAGGGGAGCTGAACAACTTGAGAACATCTGGCATTTGTTCCTTTAATTCAATCCTTTGTCTTCTGTGGCAAAAGCAACGGGTTTGCAATAGCAACTTGTGTATGTTATTATGTTTTAAAAAGAAAAATGAACTGTGTACACTGGTCAAGATAAACGCATCACATTCATCTCTGTGTGGGGATGCATGTGGTCGGGATAACTAGGCATCATAGTAACTGAGGAAAGCCAATCACTGGACTTGGCTTTCCGTATCCGTCATCCGTATCAAACACAAAGCTGACATTCCCCTTTTGAAAAGGTTTTTGCTTAGGTTCTTAAAGCATGTTTATTACAGGTTTTGGTTTCATTTCCTTGAATAAATTCAATGCTACAATCCAAGTAAGGGCTGTCCTATTAAAACTTGTATGAAAAACTGTTGAGGGAAAAATTATGAAAATTCTCCTTAGGTATTTCGTCCCTGTCCGTACAATTGCTCTGCAGACACCTGGTCTGGCAGTCACTGTTTTAGTCCCCTGTAGCCTCTTTTGTCTCTCCCCTCCCTCCTTGCTCCATAGGAGTTACTGAGTTTACTATGGCCAGCACAGCTCTGAGCACTGAGAAGAAAGCAGCAAGAATACAGACAGTGCTCATCTTCCCACAGACCTCATGTTCAAGTCAGGAAGAGAAACACTAAAAGTTAAATACAAATACTATTTACAGGTGATGGTAAGTTCGATGGAAGTTTGATGAACAAAGCAGAATTAAAGTCAGTGAACAGTGTGTGTGTGTGTGTGTGTGTGTGTGTGTGTGTGTGTGTGTTTGGGACTAAGATGATATTTTTATATAGAGTGGAGAGAGGTCAGAAAAGACTTCAGAAATACAACAATTGAGATGCCTAAAAGAAATAAAGAAAGTGATATTTGGGATAGAAACTGTCTAGATATAGTGAAGAGTGAGAACAGAGGACCTGAGACATGAGTGTATCTGTCCTGTTCAAGAAAAAACAAGAGACCATTGTGGCCAGAACAGAGAGTATATTGGACAGAGGTAGAGAATGGAATCAGATGGATTCTAGGTATGCTGGGGTCTGAACATTATTGCTAGTACTTTGACGCCCATTTGAGTGCACTAGGAAGCTGTGACAAGTGTTTGCCATGACAGGAGGAAGCAAGAGCAGAAGCACAGATGGTAGGGAGCAAACTATTGCAAATCTCAGGTCAGGACACAGTTAGAGGCAGAGCAATGCAGCGCCGGAAGCACCTGGAGTGTTTTTTAGGTTTACTGCAGATGGGGTGTATGTGATGAGAGATGGGATTGTGTGAGATGTATGCAAAGCCTTGGCCTGAGGAAGCAATAGACTCAATGTAACACTTAGTAAAATGAGATATTATTATCAAATAAAGAGGACAAAGAAAAAGAAGAAGTTGAATTTTGTGCATAGTATGTTCAAGGTATGCCACTTACAAAATTTCATAAGAAAAAACAAATGCCCGAAGGTTAGTCAACTCAAATCTCCTTTGGGGTGCATTTCCGCAAACTTCTATTGTCCTTACATAGAGTCCTTGGCTCATCTTCCCTTAAATGTTGTACCAAATAAAAATCTTCAAGTGGTAAAAAAAATATGAACCTTCTCAGGATGCAGCCTACAAATAAAATAAGATGTCCATACCTCATTCTCGAGGCAGATTTATTTAAATCTAAGAAAACAGCATGTTTCTCTTATTGCTTAAAGGTTTGTTGCTGGGCACTGGGCACCTCCTTTCCATACAGATATAATTAAATCTCAGGAAACCTTATAGATAGGTAATGGTATTAAGAAAACTTTGAACATTAATTAATTCACTTGGAGTTGGAAGAGCCAGGACTTCAGAGCCTAGGAACCTTGGTATTCTGAGCCTCCACTGCCTTGTCCTAGCCTCTTCCCCACTGTCACAGAGGACTCACCATCAACGGTGACTTGTATCTTCTGACTTGAGGACAGAGTTCCATTTCCCTGAATGTTGACCTTCACAATGTAATTGCCCTCATCAGCGAACTGCAGCGGACTGATCAGGAGAGATGCGTTGGGTGGCATCATGGTGAACTTGTGTTGGTATTCCAAGTCGGGAACGACAGACTTGTTCACAGAGCCCAGCAAGTATTTGGGCATTGTGTGTGGCCTCTCAAACAGCCAAATGATCTGGATGTCAGATGCTGGAATGTGGAAGCCATAGTGCACGGGGAGGTAGAGGGCCTGTCCCCTGATGCCATGGACAGTGTGTGAAGGCACGGTCACCTTCAGCCCCGAACAAACACCTGCTACAAAGAGAAGGAAAACTGTGAGTACCCTGAGCCACATTTCATAATAAAAAGGTACAGTTTCAGTGGGTACTCAGTCAGATGATAATCCCTTTCAAAGAAGAAGGCTTCTAAGTATTGACTATTCCAGTACCAGTTACAGGTAGAAGTAAATATTTGTCTCTGAAACCTTCTGCATTTGAAAGACTACACCCAGTGAGTATACTCGCTGCATGACTTCCCTAAGACAAGGCAAAAAGGAGAAGCAGAAGCTATTATCTCCTATCATTACAGAGTAACAGAGAAAGAAGAACTAAGAAAGATTATGAGCTCTAAAGTTCAATAAATCTATTAAAACAAATTTGAAATTAAACAATGTCAATTTCATATTCTGACGAAACTGCAGTTCCTGAAATATGATGGGATACTTCCCTGCAACAAATTTTTGCAAAGTCTTCTGAAGTAGCTCAATATTCGATTTTTGGAAGTCCCTCCCTGCTTTAGTCAAATCTGAGTAACCTAGTAAATGTCACAATAAACTACATTCAGTTAAAACCAGCACTTCCTTGTCCACAGAGGACTCTGACTGCTGTGTGAGGAACAAGGGGCAGACCTGGATGTAACAGAGTGGAGGAGGAGGAGCTCATAGAGATATGAGGGCAGTGATAACCAGGAAAAATGGGGAACGATGCTAAGACCGTGGGACTTGTGGGCAATTTTACTCTATGCAAAATGAAAATGTAACTGGAGTTTTGATATCAGAGGAGGGATATGACTTTTTAATGATTTATTTGTCTTCCACCAGCTGGAAGGAGAAGGGGCTGAGCAAAGAGAAAAGCAGGAACACCAAGGTATCTCAGGAAATGACTACATCAAAGTAGGCAAGAGATGGGGCTGTACTGAGCCATGGTGTACTGGGAAACATGAGAAAAGACTGGTTCTACCAAACAACAATAACAACAACAAAACCAAAAACACCACACACTAGAGAACTGCTAGTTTTGGCACTGCGGTGTGGAAATCAGAAGTTCGTATAGGACACAAGTACTTTTAGATGCTCACTAGACATCCAAATGGCAATGCTGGATGAATGTAGTGATCACGTTTTTATTATTAACTCATTAATGGTAGTTTAGGACAGAATTAGAGGCCTGAACTGATGTGAAGCATGGAGCTCTTCCCATGTACAGTCTTATGCAGTGCTTGTGTTGTTTGGGTCCATGAACTCACTGCTATGGCTAATCTTAATCTTGTGTTTGTATATTGCCTCTTAGCTTCTGTAACTTGGAGCTCTCTCTCTCTCTCTCTCTCTCTCTCTCTCTCTCTCTCTCTCCATATATATATATATATATATATATATACATACATATACACATATTTACCATTTGTAATTTAAAAAAGTCCTTTCAGGATACCATACTTTTAGAATTCTAGTTGAAATCTCTTTGCTTCATTTTATAAGTGGGTGGCGTGGTATGAAATCACCATCAGAGGAACATTTAGATTGATAGGGTTACGTGTATATCTTAAATGTAGACTATCTTGAACACGGAGAGATAAAAAACAATGGAAGAGGGTCAGTGAGGCAGACTAGTGAGTAAAGGTACCTGCCACTGAGCCTAATAACCTGAGTTCAATCCCCAAGACTCAGATGGTGGAAAAGAGAACTAACTCCCTGTGTCATGTTGTCCTCTGGCCCACTCTCACACTGTAGCGCGCTCTCTCTCTCTCTCTCTTTCTCTCTCTCTCTCTCTCTCTCTCTCTCTCTCTCTCTCTCTCTCTCTCACACACACACACACACACACACACACAGAGAGAGAGAGAGAGAGAGAGAGAGAGAGAGTCAGAGACAGAGAGACAGAGAGACAGAGACAGAGAGGGGGGTCAAAACAAATTTTTAAAGAAGTAATGGTGTAGAAACAGTAATTATAGATTCTTTGAGTAACTTTGTAAAGGGGACAAAAGAAGTGGATGGAGGCTGGACAGGAATGTAGAATGTAAAATCACATCTGCAGGCATTGGGTATGAATCTGTGAGATATGGACGTGGGGAAATAGAAGAGCGGTAGATGCTGGGGGATTGAAACTGAGTAGGCGAGAGAAGATGGGAACTGGAGCCAAACAAAAGGGTGTTTTTTTTTTACTTCCGTTTTCTAAGACACATAAAATGATTATCCTCTTCAATTGCTTCCCATTTTCACTGTTTCCAGGAAGTCTCATCTAAATCAACTTATGGAAGGCAGTTGGAACAAAGAAGGAAAAGGTCTGTTTGTCTTTCATGGTGATTTCCATGGAGAAGCTCAAGCATGCTGCCCCAACCCCATGAGAAATCAAATTCTACCAGCACTAAGTGATCTCACCATTCCCCAGAGCAGTGTGGTCAGGCTCCTGGACCTTTACACGTGCCTGAGATAAACACACACCATACGCTTGCTTTAGGTCACCCATGTCGAAGGTATTATAAGGTGTATGATTTGATTCTGTATGGAAAAGTACAAGAATGTTAAATTTGGAATTTTCTAGTTTGAGAGATTAAAAAGAGAGAATTAGATGCTGGAATATGTAAATCATAGAGTTGCTTGAAGCAAAGGAGAAGTGGAAATTTTGCAAGGAAATTGAAGGAGGGAAAAAGGAATATTGATGAATAAACCAATGTCTTAAGACTAGTGACATCAAAGTTGCATAAAGCAGAGGCTGAGAGGACAGCAGCTCTAACAGCCAAATATTTCTAAAGACACTGGACTAGGAGTGGGAGCTGGAGCAGGAGTAGGTCTCTCCTTGGAGATGCATTTTCTGGGCAAACGATAATGCACTTCTGGGCCTTCAGCTGAAACCAGAGAGACATAGTTTCTTGACAAGCAATAAATAAAAACCAGTTTTTAGCTCAGTATTTCTATTTTTAGGTATGCAAAACGTAACTTTCACTGTGTCTGCTGTGCAGCTCTGTTCATTTTTTTTTTAAAAAAAAAAACCCGACTTATGTATGAAAATATCTGCTAGCTATGTGTCAGGCAGGGTTCATGACTAATCTTAGACTCCCTTGTAACTATATTTACCAGTAATTCTTAGATTCACGTTAACCCGAAGTGAATATGGTCAGAATCATGTGCATTTTCTAAACTTGCAGAGGGGATATTTTATTTAACATTTTGATAAAGTTGGAAACGTGAAGTTGTAGCAAAGGACACATATTTATCTTAAAACAGTGTTTAGTCAGCATCCGGAGGTATTTTCTCCGAGTAGCCATTATGTATATTTCAAGAGGAAAGGTTCAAAGGTTTTGAAATAGCGAGTTGCAGCGTTTAGTCGATGAAGTAAGTTGTCTCTAACAAATTGACAAATCTGTGTTTGTTCTAAGCGATCAAGGGGCTATGGTGGGAATCACATCACTGCCTTGAGAATGCACTGGGACGACTTGCATGGCTGCTGACATGAAGTGCAGCGATCGCCTCTGGCACAGAGCAGCAGCATCGCTGACTTACTGTGCAAAATATTTAAGACGTTTCCCAGCGTAGCCCAGGAGTCCCTGCTGGACTGAGGTGGGGATGTGAAGCTTGAATGCAATTTTAGCTGATCCATTTTTCTAATTGGGGAGAGGTTCTTGCTCTTCTGTTTTTGTAATTTAGTCTATGCAATTGTAGTTGGGAAAAAATTAGTTGAGATTACATTAATATGCTGGAGGTGGTTGCTAGGCTGGTGACACTGTCCCTAGAGTGGAAATGTTACTGACTTTTGATCTGGATTTGAATGTTGACTCTCAGTTATGAGCAGGACTCTGAATAAGTTAGGAGGAGAGAATTTTATTTCATAAGACATTAACTGTAATGCAGATATTGCAGCCTGGAGACAAATAAAGCTACTTCCGTAGATCTGCAGTGGTGACACACGACTTTAATCCCAGCACTTGGGAGGTGGAGTGCAGTCTGAGTCGCATAAGTGTAAAGCCAGCCAAGGCTACATAGTGAGACTCTGTCTAAAAACAAACAAACCGACCAACAAACAACTAACCAGCTTGCTATCTAAGCAAGTAACTAACTAACTAACTAACTGCTTTAGTGGAAAAAATTTCTTTTAAGACACAGGTTGCTAAATGGACCTCACTAAAATGCCTTTGCTCATCTGGAACTCAGGGATCTCCTTCCTCAGCTTCCTGAGTGCAGAGGTTGGAGTTGTGCATCACAACAGCAGGTGAAGGTAACAAATTTTTTACATGGCATTTACACTCACCATACAAATGGGGAAAACTAATTCACTGGACTATTTAAAAGAATTAACAATATATTAACGTCTTAAATAATATATATGCCAACCATATTTCTGAATATATTCAATAATTTAATATAAAATGAAAATTCTTTAACAAATATGTCTGGTTATTTTTTTAAAATATGTACAGCATAGAGAGACATAGTGCAACTATTAGATAGTAGTTTGCTTGGAGGTTGCCTATATCATTATTATTATTATTATTATTATTATTATTACTACTACTACTACTACTACTATTATTATTGACGGGGTTTCACTATGACTAGTATGTAGATCAGGTTGGCCTAGAAATCACAAAGATATGCTTCTTGTCTATGCCTTCCAAGTGCTGGGATTAAGGGCAGGCGTCACCACACCCAATGCCTGTATTATTCTTATGGGACAGTTTATAGGTAACAGGTGTCAGCAAGGAATGAGTTTCCTTGTGTCAGCACCTAAAATCGTCCTGTCGGGAAAGGCACGAATCCACTGTGTGATTCTGAGACTAAACAGCTAACATTATGGGTTTTTTTTGTGATTTTAGAAGCGCACATTCTTTTCATTGATGTGTTTCTTGCTAAAAATGTACCAAACCTATGTCTTCAAACACAGTAGTTTACTAATTTAGAAAAATGAGGTTCACCTTGAAAAAATTTGCTCTTTTCTAATTGCATGAGAAACATAAAGGATAGCACTTTCTCCACTCTCTCTCTTCAACAAAGTTCAGTGATAGAAATATTCATGGACTTTCAGTTTTCTTTTGCTATTCCAAATGTTTGCACATAAATGAAAATTTTGTATTTACTGGATTGATGAATACTTGCTGAGTTTAAGAGAGCCGTCCAGACTGTCTGCTTTTGAGGCACTAGCAGCAACTGGGGAGAGGATTAAAAATACTACTCATAAGCCAGCATCCACAACTGCAGCAATAGCTTCACTTCAGAGAGCCTTAAGATCTGCAATAGCAGTGCCTTTAAAAAGCTAGTAAAGTAAGGGATCCTTGAAAAGACTCTGAAAAAATTACCCATGTTCCAGCAACAGAGGACTCCTGCGAGCAGTTTTACTGTATTGAATACAAACATTAGGTTTTACAAAGTGACCTCTACAGCAGCTCAAACAGTTGGTATTTATTTCCTCACTATCACACACAGTATTAGCAAACATAACACAACTATTGTTGACTGAAAACAAACATTTGCATCTTTAGAAAAAATAGAAATTGGGAATCTGTATTTTGAAGAGACAATTTAATCATTCATTTGGAGTTTATTTTTAAAATATTTTAAAAAGAAAATTCAGTACTTCAAAATTTACAGAGAAAATTCAGTCCTTTAAAGTAAAAGGATCTGCATAGTCCTTGTGTCCTTTTCCACCGCCATCTTCAGAGAAAGTGAATTTCCGCAAGGAGAGGAATCACAATCTATTATATCAGTTTTATTTTTGAACTTGTGATTTATCCCAAGTATATCTTACTTTTCTTTTAGTCAAATTTCTCAAGTGAATTAGTTCCTGAGTTCTTCTTAAGGCCAACTATAAAACATTATTTGTGAAAAGCTAGTAGTTCCACTGTTTGAAAATGAAAAACAAACAATAAACCAATGTAGGATCACTTAATAGGTAAGGATGATATTTAAATATTGTCAGCAGATGTTTTAATAACAATTTAAAAATGTAGACTATATTATAGGCTTGTATTTTATAATATGAACATATAGTAACTGAGATGACTACAGTTTTGGGGAACAGATACCTTAAAAATTTACGGATGGTAGTTTTATTTCAGTGAGATTTATACATATGTGAGTAATAGTCATGTTTATAAAGAAAGCTAACAAACTATATTCGTGAAGATAAAGCTTTAAATACCCCCAAAGCCCAAAGCTCAAACTGCTTTATGTATCTAAGTTAGTCTTTAAGGAATAAAGCCCCCTTTAAGGTACTAAGAGACCAATGTAAACAAACCAAGAAACTAACTTGACCTTTTAGACCATAATAGCAAGGGTGGAAAATGAAATATTCTGTGAAAAGAATATTGAGGGATAAAAGCACTGGTGATATAGAGAGGCAAAGTGTGACAAAAGAGAATGAGAGAAAAATATTAAGATACAGCAAAAACATAGGACTAGTTACTGACGAAGAGAAAACCTAAAGTCATTTTCGGAGCTCCAATCCTCTTAAATATGTGTATTTGTTTTGTCAGTTTAGCTAGAACTTCATGTTGCCCCAATTTATATCAAAGAAGAACAGTTTGTATATGAGCGTTAATTTAAGCAATATCTTTAATTAAAAGAAAACCACTACTATGATTTGCTCTGAATTCATTGTGTGTTTTTAATTTAATGCACTATTATAACATTTTCCAATTACAGCATTCCCTATCAAAGATTATTCAGCCTATCTGTAAGACCGGGAAAAGAAAAAATTCACAAGCTTTTTATACTGCCTTAACTTTCTTCGCAAATTCCATTGACTAAAGCTGTTGCTCCAAGGAAACAAAAGCAATCATTTCTTGAACTTCATTGCTTCTACACGATCCTGTTTCTTTGCTGGAACAGTGTGTTCTTGTTAAAAGGTTCTCAACTGTTCTTCAATTATCTGAGAAAATCTACAGTCCAAAGCAAATATTTACCTTATGCTTACAAAAAATGAGCCACAAAGAAAACCAACAAAACCCCATAACCCAAACCCCACATACCTCAAAGTCAGTTCATGTAGGGCCTTACCTATAAGAAGAAAGTATATTTTGCAAAGAAAGATCCCAACCGTGCTGCTGAGAGGCTCCATGAAAGCATCCTGTCCCATGCACACGGCACCCTGTGCTTAGTGGCAAGTTGGTTCATAGACCAGCAGCTGCTGGTTTATTTGCTAGGGAAATTAGCAGTGAGGTAACAGACCCTATCCTGCCTCTCGCTTCTGTGATTTGAATACAGAATGAATGTGTATACAAAGAACACAGGGCGTAGGAACACCTGTTATATGCTTTGCAAGAACACAGGGCTGTGGCTTTCAAAATAGTTTCTTAGGGATTCTCAGTAATTTTTCAGTATAACTTTATAAATCATACTGAGTTATTAATAATCAGAAGGAGGAGGACAATCTCTTTGGGTGACCTCACGATAAATAAACCCAAATCTGGTTTTCTATCATGAAAAATTATGTAATTGTTTTGAAATTTGAAAAATTACTTTCTACTGAAAATTGAAGTACTTCACGAATTTTCTATGTAGCTATTCATCTTTATGAAGTTACTGATTATCATGTAAAGTATGTACCAAAGAACCAACGCAGATCACTAAAGTATATTTTAAATTTATTTTTTCTTTGTTATATTTTCTATTAAATATGGCTATGATAGTTTTACTGACTCTATTAATTTATATATTTAAAAATAAATCACAGGTATATTTCCAAGTGGGGATGAGACTTGCACTGTGTATAGTTATAATGTACAGAATACACCTGAGGCCACATTTTCTCAGTGGAATCTTAGAAGCAACAAATCAGTAATCCACAAAAATCTTACCTGTGTTCCTCCTTCATCTTCCCTTCTGAGTTCCTTTCATTGCTATAGAATTAGATGGCCTGAGAATCTCTGCTTAATTTGGTAAGTTACAAGTGAGCTACCATTTGTACAAAGGCTCTGGTCCAAGCTTTCTGCACGAAATAGTATATTCATGCATATATATATATGCCTTAAATTAAGTAGAATTTCCAGTATGAACCATTTTTACCAGTGAAGTTCCGCTGAATTCAATGACAAGAGGAGTTAGGAAGGCATAGGATTTCATTTTAACTGCCTAAACGAAGACTGTTGTCCAAGTGTTGTTAAAGACAAAAAGGGGCAGTGTCCATTCTGGAAACCAGCTTTGGAAATACTCTTTGAATAAAGTCTACCAACTTGCTTAGAAAGTGTCTAAAGTCAAAGGAACTCCTGTTGGGAAATCCAATTCCTTTATACAGGTCAGTTACTTTACAATGCTCCATACCTTATTGACAATTGGTACCTAAGCATAATGCTCATTTCTCTTAACATATTTCCACAGAAATAAACTCCTTGTGCTCTTTAGCCTAGCTTCCTTAAGAAATGCACACAAATTTTCATATTAGCTGATGCAACAAACAATTGGAAAGAAACAGGACTTGAAACAGATTATCACACAAACTCTCTTACTCTGGTTAGATCAGTCTCAACAAAGCTGCTCCTATTAAATAAGATCTTTATAGTGTCCTCAAACTAAAGGATGACTTGTTATGAGGGCTCAAAGATTCTAAGCAAAATGTGAGAAACAAAGACAGTACAGTGAGTTTTCCTAGGGTCAAATGTACAGCATTTAAAGAATTTATAAAATTCCAGTATTTTCCTCAGTTTATATATATATATATATATATATATATATATATATATAGTGATCAGAATAAAATAGTAGGTGTTGTGATAAGAATCGAAATACCAGAAATGAGCCATTCTTGTGCTCTTTTTTCCTGTCATATCCACTAAAAAAATTGCAGTACTTGTTTGATTTAGACAAGTGCCCTCTAGTGGAAGATTCCTAAATATAACTGCTTGCAAGAGTAAATTGTGAATTCAGGAAATTTACATTGAAATCATACAAGCAAATTTAACTTCAAGAGGTGCCAAACTGACAGAATTCTTTTAAAACATAGCTCCAAAGAGTTTTGTTAGTGTAAGAAAATTCTCCCAGACACAGCATCACTTGGAGGCAGAGGTTGAGGCCAACCTAGGCTATAAAGTGAGACCTTGCCTGGGGCTGGGGGCAATGGTGGCATGGGATTGTCTCACTAACGACTTTTATAGCAAGTTGATAATGTACTAAGTGTTTTGGTCTAAAATAGGGGGTCGCATCCTTCCTGTTTACTGGTCTTAGTTATAGTTGCGTTAAAAGTGATTAACCTAAAACAATATCTGTCTATGATTGCATTTCTAGGAATACAAGAAGTCACTGGGAGTGTGTGTGTGGTGTGTGGTGTGTGTGTGTGTGTGTGTGTGTGTGTGTGTTTGTGGTGTGTGTGGTGTGTGTGTGATGGGGGGATTAGGGCACAACTGCTTTCTAACCTCTCCAGTCACACATAGTTTATTGTCTGTTCCATTTAAATTATTAGGCTACCTTTGTTTTACATAATGAACATCTAATTCTTCCTTCTTTCTTTCTTTTTTCCAAGACAGAGTTTCTCTGTAGGTAACCCCTCCCACTCAAGACAGAGTTCTCTGTAGCTTTGGAGCCTGTTCTAGAACTTGCTCTGTAGACTAGGCTAGCCTCAACTCACAGAGATTCACCTGCCTCTGCCTCCCAAGTGCTGGGATTAAAGGCATGCGCCACCACTGCCTGGCCAACTAATTCTTTAATATAGATGCCTTCAAGGAATTATTTACAATAGCAAAAACAATAGAGGAGAATTGGCGACATACTCAAGAAGACACAAATGGTTGTATATAGGATGAACTGGGGGGGGGCATTTACTATTATAATTAACATGAATTATTTGATTCTGAGGAGCTGTACGGTCTACAGGAAAAGGAGGTTAAACTGCATATGCAGATTTGTGTGTTAATGGGCAAGCTTTTGCACAGTCAGGTTGATGACTGCTGCCTCCCAGAGGACCTAGGCTGTATTTTCCTAATAAATGTTAAACTGATATAGTTAAAAGGCACTGGTGTAATGTTGAGGACAGCCTTGACAAAAATATTTCTTACCAGGGTAGGGGTGTGGGAATTGAAGAAATAAAAATAAGGAATTTGAAGACGTATATTAAATAATAAGAAAATATAGAAAGTATCAGGAGAGCATTTCAGGGATTACTCAGACCCTGAAATCACCTGTGTTTATTTTTCCACAGTTTTCATACCCAAAGTAAATGGGGGGGGTGGGAGAAGGTAACAAAAGACTTTATTAACATGGTACAAAAGGTTAACTCACACAGTCAACTCTGAGACATCCGATCATTAACATTCTGTTTTCCATGTAGCTAGGTGCCCCAAGTCAAGCACTCTAGGTCATCTACACTGAAGACCACCCTTCCTTAGGTGACTTCACAAAAGAAAGGAGCAGAAGTACACTTGCATATACTGACTACCTGTCAGGATGGCATTGGGCTATCTTAAGTTCGAGGCCAGCTGGTCTACAAGAGCTAGTTCTAGGACAGATTCCAAAGCTACAGAGAAACCCTGTCTTGAAAAACAAAACAAAACAAAACAGAACCAAGCAATCACCTCCTGAGTTGGGACATGCAACTATGCCTGTCAATCTCCAAATTCTCTGACTCTCAAGAGAAAGTGGAAATGGGCCTGCATTTTTCAGCCTCCACAGTGTCATGATTTAGGAATCACTCAACACAATACACAAAACCGTTAAGTATAATCAGTTCACACATCAGCAATAGTGTTAGTTAGGCAAGTTCCTTAATTTCTTCACACCTGATTCATCATTTTTAACATGGAGATAATAGCGACTCCATATGGTGCTCATCCATATAGTCTTGGATCTGTGTTTCTTTCTTATTTTTATTTATTTTGCATGTTTGTTTTCTAGAGAGAGAAAGAAAGAAAAAAACGTGGAATTGGTGGGTCCGATCTAGGATGAGCTGGGGGTGGGGAAATCTGACCAGAAAACATTGTATGAAAAAGAATTTGTAATTAAAAAAAGGAGAAAGATTCTCATGTAGCTCCATGAGGTCATACACATAAACTCATTAACAGAGTTCCTTCCAGTTTGTAAAGTTTCAGTGTTATCTATCATTATTATTAGCCCTGAGTTTGCTGCCCCCATAGTCTCATCATATGAAATCCTTACAAAAGCTCCCGTTACTTTCTCCTTTGTAACCACTAATGACAAGAGATGACTTTAAGGTGACACATGCTCCCACAACTTCTGACATCTGTGACGACCTGCCTTTGCTTAAGCAGGTAGAAAAATGACAGTTGGGGATTAGAAGAAATCCTTTGATTTTTATTGGAGCTTGTTTCAGGCAATGGCAAGAAAGAAAAAAGACCCCACGGCTGACCGTCAGCCTCTTAGAGTACCTGCCTCCCACTTCCCCAGGCCATACCCAGCGGCCCAAGCGCTCTTTCCGGAGGCGTCTCCCGGGTCTCATGGGGGGCCGCCCCCCCCCATCCCCCCGCTCCAGCCCAGCCCTTCCTCTCCCGCTCGCCAGTCTGGACAGAACACCTAGGTCTCATGTATCAGCCTCGCCTAAGCCGTTTCCGGTACAGGTGTCCACTCGGACCAACAAGATTTGCTGTTCGTTGAAGCATTGCTTCTTGGGAAATGCAGTACTCAGGCTGCCCTCCTTCTTCGACTGCAGCCGGAAGACTACACTTCCCAGCATGCCCAGCAAAAGGAAGGCGGACCCAGGCGGTCAGCTCCACGTGACTTCTCACTATGGCTTCACTGTGTTGTGGCCGGCTGTCTGGTGGTCTTGTGTGATTTGGTACTTGTCTGTGGCAGGGTAATCGTCTCTCGACATCGACATGCAAAAAATCAAATCTCTAATGACCCGGCAGGTGAGTCCTGTAGTCTGAAGCGAAGAGTTCCGTCCTCGGCTGAGGAGCGAAGCGCCCAGTCCCCGGGCAGCGGTGGGCGGAGGCTTAAGTTATAGGGGTTGGCGGGTCTCAGGGGCTCCGGGCAGCTAAATAGAAGCCTGGAAGACTCACTTGATCCCACCTCGACTCTTTGTGGGTACTGTTCACTTAGACACAGTCATTTAGACGAGGCTAGCCAGAGACTTGGGCTGTCTTTGTCTCCCCTCCTTTGCTTTTGCTTCCTTTCCAGGACAGCCCCAGCTGCTTTGCAGCATCCCCGCTTCCTGACGAGCGGCTTTT